CATGTTCGAAATTTTACAAGTTCCAAAGTTATGAGTTCGGAGGTTTATGTGTTTGAAAGTTTATGCGTCCAAACACCGGAAAATGAATAAGATTATTACTTGTTTTCCAAGAAAAAATTTTCTTGGAAAATATTTTTCACGGAAAACATTTTCAGTTATACCAAACACACCCTTAATCTTAAAGAATTTCCAGAATTACTAGGAGCAGTTTACTAAAAACTGTTTTAGTTGACTTTATACTGCAAAAGATTGTTCTAAATTCAAGAAATACATACCCAATTCATCCCTTCTTGTATTCAAGAACTTTGTTGTCGGTTGCAAACATAAACAAAAGGTTGTCGTTTAAAATATTTTTGGGGCAAATGCACAAATAGTCGTTCAGAAGACCGTTGTTTAAAGAAAAGTTGAAAATTAAAAAGTATTTAATAATTAGCCACAGTTTGAATAAAAGTCTGAAGTTAGGCTTGGCTAGTTTACAATTCTGATCTAGATGCAATTTTCTTATATCCCTTAAATATAATTCGCTCGAAGAAATTCGTTGACAATCAAAGGCATTAACAAAGTCAAAGGGAGCTAGCAAACCCTTTTCCAACATCAAGTTTTGAATATAAGAGATCTTTATTGAACTTCATTACTTATGAAAAAGGGAAAAAAAACATAAATCATAATTCAATTTGCATAATAATAACAAACATAAGTCAGTTCCGGACCTTCTTGTGAACTCTTTTTGCTCCATTATTATTTACTTGTGGAGGGTTTGGACAGAAGCACTTGTGCGTAGTCAAATCACATTTGACATCAGCGTCTATGCATTTCATTGGGCAATCGGCATCCTTAGAGCATGCGAACACGGCATTACTTGATTGTCCTACTAACATATATAGACGTTGTTGAATAAGTTATTTAAAAGAAAAAAAAATAACTACATAATATAGGTAGAATAAATCTAGATTGCTTACCTAACAAAATAAGCAAAAAAGAGATCAAGAAAATCTTAAGGAATGTTGCTTTCTCCATTTTGTTTCAACTTTTGTGGTAGTATTACAATAACTATATGATTGTTATTTTTGATGTCTTATCTGTTGATTTTAGCAATGTATTTATAGGGAAGTAATACACCTGCACCAAATTTTCAATTGATTGAGAAATAGTAACCAAGATAAACAACTTTATGCCCTTCCCATAAATTAAAGAAAAATAATCTAAGACTAAGGCAACACAATCTTTTCTGGCAGGAACTATTTTGGAAAGTTAGTCATTTATAATTTCCATTTGAAGTTTGGCCCAGGTGCTAGCTTGGTTCTCGGCCCATCCGGGCACCGGTCCGATTGATCGCAAATTTTTTATTTGTCTTATAATATTAGTATCCTAATATTATCTAATTCAAAGTTTTAAATCATAAGTCAATAAGTAAATTAGCAATAGGAATAAAGATAGTTGTAAACGGTTGAAATATTACATGGCTATAACTTTGCGATTTCGATAATTTCTTGTTTGTGTATTTTTTTTTCAAGATCTATTCAATTTACATTTTGTACACTTCAGTCATATGTTGATGGAGACAAAAATTGCTGCACTTCAGCCATATTCAGTTGAAATGCATACAAAAATACTTGAATTTCAGTAATAATTGGCTGAAATTCATTTATCTATGTGACCTTCTAATTTCAGAGCAAATTGATAATTCCAGGCGCGACTTTTGTTACTTCAATCACGAATGCCTGAAGTTGTATCCGAAATGCATAAATTTGCAATATAATTTGAACTTAAGGTACAACGATCTCAAAATCGGGTTTTTGTGCATTTCCCCCTATTTTAGAAGTATTGTAATGTAGAAGACATCTTTTAAATTTCTTTCTTTTTGGTCCAGAAGTTAGAACACCTTTGTTATTGAATCTAAGAGGTGTATTATAAATATTAAATGGTACTCTCCCCCTATTGGTTATTATAAGTTTAATATTGATGGTGCCTTCCATAATAATCTAAAGAAAGGAGAAGAGAATGGGTATTAGAATTTTGTAAGTGTGATTCTGCTCTTACTCATACTCATGCGGAGCTTCTTGCATTAAGACAGGCATGGAGATAATCTATTAGGACTCACTTTCTTGAAGGAAAGGGAAAAATACTCCTAAAAGTATTAAATCTCCTTCATATGTCTTACTCCCTCCGTCCCAATTTATGTGAACTCATTTGACTAGACACGAAATTTAATAAAAGAGAAAAGACTTTTGAACTTGTGATGTAAAATGAGGCACATATATTTTGTGTGGCTATAAATCATTACATAAAGTTAAATTGTTTCCAAATAAGGAGAAAGGTCATTTTTTTTGTACGGACTAAAAAGAAAATAGGTTCAAATAAATTGAAATATCTTTTTCTTAGAGGAGAAGTTTTGCACTTCTATAAATTAAGGTTTCCTTCTCAAACAACAAAAACAATAGCATTCACAATGTAATCATCAAAGAGCCCTTTTAAGGGGGAGATTTTTTTCTCTCGGTAGTTTTTTATTTTGTACTAATTTTTATATGTAGGTCAATTGACCATACCACTTTAAATAATAGTCTTTTTTGTTATTCTTTTATACTCTGAGTTTTGCATTGTTAACTTTCGCGGGCACCATCTTATTTTGATCTCAACAGTTCATGCCACTGGAGATTGAAATGGACTCCACGGAGATCATTAACATGTTGAAAAAGACTCACTTATCTATGCTTCAATTATAAATGATTGCAAATTGCTAATGCAGAAGGAGAACCCAGTGCTTCGGCATAACTTCAGGATGGAAACAAGGTGGCACATCTCTTGGCTAAGGAAGGTTCTAAGGGAGAAAATTATGGAAGACTAGTTTACCTCCCAGTACCACCTAGGGCAATTACTGTTGCAATCTTTAAGGATAGTATAGGAGCAAGTATAGAGAAACATGTTTCAGATAGTGTCTGTAATAGTTTAGCTTGCGTTGGAAACTTGAGTGTTATAAATGACACACGTAGTAATTGTACTGTAACAACAGTTTAATATATATTAATCTCTTCGTTGATCAAAAAGAATCTAAGAAGTGTAATTTGGTGTTTCAAAAAAAACAATATTATGCAGGGTACTAGTAGAGATTCAAAATCCTTCACCCAGTCCCACCCTCGATGGTGGAACCAAAATTTATATATATATATATACATGTGGTATACGGTCAAATTCGAGTTTGCCCTTCATGTAATTAATCGAGATTGGAACATGATGAACTGAGGGTCGTCATTGTAACATCGAGATAAGAAGTAAAGCCAGGTTATCGAGCTCAAGATTGAGGGACCGATCAATATCGAGCTCGAGTCAATATCGAGCTATGATATGAAGTAGTGTTATCGAGCTCAAGAGCCAGAGACCGATCAATACCGAGCCCGAGTCAATATCGAGCTCGAGTTAATATCGAGCTCGAGATCCGGAGATCGACCAATACCAAGACCGACCAAGATCGAGCTAAGAGACAAAGAGTCGTTGCAGTCACATTTAGGGAGAGAATCTCGGCGGGAATTAAGGAAAAACTAATTAACTAATCTATCATGGGACCCCCATTATGTATTTTTTAATATATTCAAAGTAGGATTTTTTCACTATATTAAGAGTGGGTATCATTTCTATAAACAGGATCAAGGGAGAAGCGTACATAGATACACTCTCATATTCAGAAATTATTGAGATTTACACACATATAGTAAAGATTATCCTTTTTTGGGCTTTGGACATTGATTCATCTTGCTTGTTTATAAATCATTCTCTACTCAATTTGGTTTGTATTTCATTCCTTTATACAATCAATATTCGATATATTTCTACTTACTTTTCGATTCGTACCAAGTTATACCACGTATCCTTAGAACTATGTATAAATTCAACTCTATCCGTTTTTCGAGTAAACAGTTTGGCGCCCATCGTGGGGCTAAGGATAACAATGGTTATTTGGTACGAATCTCTGCAAAACACACTATTTACACTTGCTCTTGGAAGTATCTTTGATTACAGGTTAAAAACGACGAACTCTCAACTAATGGCCTACCTATCGACAACGAAGTTGACCTTCAAGATGAGAACAACAACCTGACGACCGGGGATGAAAGGCCACCAGTCGATCCCGTTGGAGTTCGAGCCATAGATTCAATTGACGATAATTTGCATGTGGCCATCGAGGCGAACCAGCGTTCCGACCTCGAAAACAACATTCATGGTGGAATACGATCTACAGTTCAAAATGCCCAAAATGTTGGAGAAGACGGGATCAACCTGCATATGATTTTCGAAATATTGCAAGCTCAGCAGGTAGCGATAGCTCAGTTGCAGAGCCAAACCCAGGCACCGAGCAGGGCCGAGCCCGGTCCACCCCAAGAAGTCACCCACGAAACGAGGCCAGCTGTAGTAAGATCGAATGAACAAGAATCGGGGACTAATCCCGAAATTATTAAGGTGTTAGAGGAACTGACAAAATGAATTGAGTCAGGAAAAAAGAGGATTGAAGCAAACGAAAAGAAAGTAGAAATTTATAACTCCAGGGTTGATCAGATCCCGGGAGAACCATCAATATTGAAGGGCTTGATTCCAAACAATTCATACAAAAACCTTCCCCCCCCCCCCGAGCGCGGCTCCTAAACCGATCCCAAAGAAGTTTCGCATGCCCGAAATTCGTAAATATAATGGAACGACCAACCCCATGTGCCATTAAAGGGAGCGATCTAGAAGACGACGAGATCGAATCCATACTACTGAAGAAGTTCGGGGAAACCCTGTCAAAGGAGGCAATGATATGGTATCATAATTTACCGTCTAACTCTATTGATTCTTTTGCTATGCTTGCAGATTCTTTCGTAAAAGCACACGCCGGAGCCATAAAAGTCTAGACCAGGAAGTCGTGCTTTTTCAAGGTAAGGCAAAGGGACGACGAGATGCTAAGAGAGTTCGTATCTCATTTCCAAATAGAACAAATAGATCTACCACTGGTCACTGATGATTGGGTTGTACAAGCTTTCACTCAAGGCTGAATGAGCGGAGCTCGATGGCTTCATGATAGTTGAAGAAGAATTTGATCGAGTACTCGGCTATCACTTGGGCCGATGTGCAAAATCGATATCAATCGAAGATCAGAGTTGAAGATGACCAGTTGGGGTCTAGGTCCGTTATTAAAAGGGACATCGACCGAGAACCAAGGTCAAACAAGGATCGATATCGGCCGTATAATGGAGATCGTAGGGGTAGCGAACCTGCACGTAACTCCGTACGAGGAGAAAGGAGAAGTGATCGAGGCCAAGGGTCTCGGGGGCTGATGAACAAAAATGGGTTCGACAAGCATACCGGACTTAATGAAGCACCACGATTATCAGAATATAACTTCAACATTGATGTATCTGCCATCGTGTCGGCTATCGGATGCATCAAAGATACTAAGTGGCCTCGACCTCTACAGTCCGATCCAGCTCAGAGAAATCCCAATCAAATGTGCAAGTATCATGGCACCTATGGCCACAAAACCAAAGACTGCAGGCAATTGAGAGAGGAGGTAGCTCGGTTATTCAATGAAGGGCACCTTCGAGAATGTTTAAGTGACCGGGCCAAAAACCATTTCAAAAACAGATATTTCAATAGAAAAAATGAACAAGAAGAGCCACAGTACATCATCCACATGATCATCGGAGGGATCGACGTCCCCCAGGGACCGGTGCTTAAACGCACTAAGATGTCTATTGTAAGAGAAAAGCGATCTCTGACTCAAGATTACACACCTAAAGGAACATTGTCCTTTAGTGACGAAGACGCGGAAGGAATCATGTAACCCCATAACGATGCACTGGCAATATCTATACTTATGAATAAAACTCAAGTTTAATGTGTGTTAATTGATCCAGGTAGTTCGGCCAACATCATTCGATCAAGGGTCGTAGAGCAACTCGGTCTAAAGGACCAGGTCGTACCTGCTACCCTGATACTGAATGGATTTAATATGGCATGTGAAACTACTAAGGGCGAGATAATCTTGCCAGTAAAGGTGGCCGGGACCATCCAGGAAACGAAG